CCCGGCTCCACTAGTTGCATGGTCTTAGCTCATTCCCTAAAATATCTGAGCACCCAAAGGTCATTGAATCGAGCTGCTTGCAGTGGCACCTGGACCTCAGCTCTTTCACCAAGGCAAGAGAAAGGAGTGGCTAAACTCTCTGAGTCCTGCAGGATCCAGAAAATGGCCTCAGGCAAGTCAAACAGGGAACAACTGGCTCTGTAAGTTGTTGCCACCTGAATCCAGAGGAAAGTAGTCCCTAGAGTGTATGAACCTGGGGCCCATTTTTCCTCCCCTTCTGAGCTTTGTGTGTCTGGCTGTATCACACTTGGTGCTTATCAGGGTAGGGATCATCCCAGCTGATCAAGGGCTCACCTGGAACGTGGAGTATTGAGGACAAGCAAGCCTGCCTCAAGGAAGAGTTTCGGGTCAGGAGTGTTCAGAAGTCAAGAAGGACCCAGAAGAGGCTGCTATGTAGGTATATATTTATTATGATATATGTGATCGTGGTTACAGATACATATTTGGTGCTCTATCAAGAAGTGTGAGTCACATAGTACATGATGAATTGGATACAAAATCAGATGATAAACATAATTGTTCCTAAATGAAAAAAAAACTTACGGGATAAATGCTGACAAATGCACTTCTAAACCTTTCATTTCTACTCCTCTCTCTGGGCTCTGTCTCCTGAAGCTGAGCTGAAGTTGTAATGTGTTAACAACATTTAGTTCCCACCAATCCCGACACTATATGACATAAAAAGAACTCTTGGCAGACATTATCCTGACTATGTCTCGCCTTTGGAGAATTTCTCAGCATGTCCCGTTGTTGTGTCTATGCCTTTAGCCTCAACACTTTCCTAGATAAGAAGTGACATGCTTTTAATATATTTATTATTACATAATTGGTGGTCAGTCTCAACTATTTTAAATGTTTCCTCTTGCAAGGGTAGAAGAGGAGGGGAGGTATGGGTGTGAGCTGGGGAGGGAAAATACCTCAGATGAGAAAACAAGTAACTTGCAATAAAATGATAGGAATGTTAGGAGTTTGATTTGAAGCTTCTCTACTGGAAAATAAGATTATTAATAAACTGTGAGGTGAGGCTAATAGTCTACAGGCTTTTCCCCTTCCTTCTCTGCTGTGAGTTTGCATTCAAAGCCACAAATAGCTTCTCAGTTGGAAGTTATCTTTTCAGCTAAGTTGATCCTAGGGGAAGCCTTTTTTTGGGTATCTGTTGCTCTGATCTGCCCCCAACCTATTTGGGTGAAAGTTGGTTCACCGCAAGTAGCCGTTGTTAAATTGCTAACTAAAGAATCTTATCCCAAACAAGTGGTCAATACAAATGTGTCTAGAAGGATGGAGAGACTAGAAAACCAGAGAGGTGTAATGACCACTCCATCAGGCTGTACTGAGATGCGTCAAGACATCACGTCGGGAACCTCCACGGAGCTGTCTGACCCTTGGATCTGGACGCTGGATGGTAGACAGTGATTCTCCGCACTCTGCTTTCTGGTGCATGCAAGTCAAGTGGGGAAAGTAGATCCTCCACAGTTGTCCTTTTCTCTAGTCAAAACTCCCTAGGATTTTAAAATAAAGTATCTCATCTAGCTGATTGAGAGTCATGACATGCCTTCCTGCAAACCTTGATGAGGACACCAAGCAGCAGTCCGATTTTCCACTAAGCAGAACTGCCCTGAAACGTTTCAGACCGAATGGATTTGCTCATGGGTCTGGGCGCTTCTTTACCACTTACCTTTTCCCAACTTCCTCCCCTTTCTTTCTCATGACCCTTTATTTTCCAAACTTGCTAAATTCTCAGGCTACAGGGAAAATGACCTGCTGGAGGGAATGATTTCAATTTCCCTGAAATACAAGTAGCTTTTTTAATGATTCTCATTATCAAATCTGTGATGGAATTGATAATTTGACAAAGCCCTGGCAGGAAATGCATATTAGTTTATCAATTGAGTTGCTAATGGTCAAGTTTTTATTGAAAATACTGAAGAGCTATAATTATTTGGGAGACTACTAAGAACTCCATCCTCTTGAAATACAGTGTCCACAGGGGACACATCAACCAAGCAAAATCCATTGCTTTTCAGAGAATAAAAAGACAATTCCTCGCACCAAGTTCTTCTCATTATGCACTAAAAACTGAATTACTTAAAGCATAATTTATACCGGACAGAACTGGAGTACATGGGGTACTGGGAGCAGGGCACAAAATGTTGCCATATATTTGATGTTGGCAAAGCAAAGTTACTGAAATGCTTTGGTAAGTTCTGCATTTCAGAGTGTGTCTATCTGGGAGAAGTGTGTGTGTGTGTGTGTGTACGTACACGTGCGTGTGCAGGATAGTGGGTTACTCACTGCTTTCATAGACAAACACGGAACTCAGCCTCCTAGCGTCAATGGTCTGTCTCTTTATTCGGGTCCAGTTTAGTTCCTAATCTGATGCCAACTCCAGCCTGTATCAAACGCAGGCAGAAAAACAGAGGTCATGGGCCATCACCTGGCCCAATGTTAGGTTCCTCTCAAGAATGAGAAGCGTTCGCTCCTGTTCCCACTGACCACAATCTGGTCCCACCAGCTCTGTACATCTCGGATCCACTTACAATGGCAGCTACATTTCACAAGGGTGGAAAATGAGAACCCCACAGGGCTCTTGCTTTAAGTTTCAGTTTCCCAAATTTCCAAGCAATTTACTTAAGGGAAAGTGGAGAGGGAGCGATAAACAGATGCAACACATTTTTTTCCTGGAAAGATCATCTCAGTTTTTTCTAATTTCCCAGCAAGAAAGGAATGTATTTTCTTTGGGTTACCATGGAAACCTCTACTGACAAAGTTTCTTTTTCTTTTGTTTCCCCTCGGTTTAAAAACAGTTTCGAAAGATTTCAAAGAACTTTTCTAGGGCAATGTTGATAATATTGCTTCCTCACTTGGGGCTGTGATATTTGTATTCCTTTTAATGTTATTATTCCATGTTAGAATAGCTTTCAATGTGTGTGTGGACTACTTTAAGTTTAAAATTGTGGAAATCTACCTGCATCTGCCTCCTGGGTTCAGTTTACACATACACGGGGGTATGCAGTCAATTTATGAATACACTTGATCTGAGACTTTGTAATATCATCCATCTGAGTGAGCTCCGTAATATCTGCTTAATTCTCTGGGTCTCTTCAAACATTTGGCTATTTCAAATATTGTGAATAAAATATTTGAATTCCTAATTCAGGTTTTCCTTAAAAACGTTTGGTATTCAAGTACAAACATCGCCATTGTTGGGTTCTTAGCATTTCTAGCTGCATTAGAAAGTTAAGGGGTGAGGGTTTTATACTGATTTGGGGCCAGTGTAGACAGATGCTGAGGAAGGTGGTACCAGGAATTTTTATCTCAGTTGCTTATCACTCCTACATTCATGCACATGGCGAGGACTTCTCTTTCAGGCTAAGCGTCCACCTGGCCTAGCTGTCGACACCATGGCGATGGAATTTCTTTGAAGTGAGCAATATTGACAGATAGGAGCGAACTCATCCCACACTAGCAAGTGTTGGCAGTGAACCCAGTCACTCCAACCCATTTTCAGAATATGAAGTAAGTATTCAAGAAGGGCATCATTGCCCTTTGAAATAACAATAGGGAAACCCCAACTAATACAGCGTTTGCCAGAGGAACCCACCAATACAGTTGCTTCACTTTCAATATTCTTAGGAAATAACTGAATCGATGGGTGACAGACATGTGAAACCAGGAGTGTGTGGATAAAAAGGGAAAAAAAGAAGGAAATATGAGACTAAACAATGTCATCTTCTACTTACAGAATTTTCAGAATTTTATTAATCCTTCAAAAAATACTTTCTTTTTTTGATTAACTCAGTATCCTCATCTTCAGTACCCTCATACATAGTTTAGTTCCTTATTTCTACTAAATTATGTAAATCACTACTTAATCAAATCTACTAAAGATAAAAAAGTTCTAGCAAGACTTATAATGATGAAATACAGAATTAAAAGTTTTAAACCTACTAAGCAATGCCATGGCCTAGCAGTCAGCTGTGCGTGAGGCACGTTAGTGGTATAAATGTGCACTTTGATGAAATTCGCTAACAGGAAGCAAAATAGGAAGGAAAGACAGGATTGCTCAAACATCACTGGATTTTGCAAAACGCAGGGGATGTTAAAACTCTCTCTTACTTAGAAAGCCTGTACGTGTCGCCAAATTAATTTTTCCAAAGATAATCTGATGTTTTGAAGATAATTACCATTTACTAAATAAAAAAATGGCATTACAGCAAAATTAATCATTTTAAGCCTGACAAAATTATCTCATTTTAGTGCACAGCCCTGTTAATGTGGAGGTGAGAGGCCACTGTTATGCACAGCAATGGTACCATTTTACACAATTGGAGTCGTATTTCAGAATTTTAACATTCACCTGGATTTAAATACTTTCAAAATTGAAACTTTGGGCCTATGAACTAAAGGCAGAGATACACTTACAAAATAGTCCATTGTCAATCTTAGTCATTGATTTAACACAGAATTTGGTAACTTCATGGGTGGGTGGTCATGTGGGAGGTATAAGGGAAGAATATGGATTGTGTTTGGCTTAAATTTGTATAAACCAGCATATTCATGGTGGCAGGTCTTGTTTATAATATTTAGTTGACAGGAAGATATTCTAAGGGAAAGATCAATATTTTAAATAATGTATTGGCTCAACATATTTAAAAAGTCGGAATTAACAGACAAGATCAATTACTCTCATGTGAAGTTGGTCTTTCCGCATTCATATTCTTTCTCAAATTTAGGTGGTGATCCATTACCGAAACCCAATGGACCCACGTTCAATGGGATCATATCCTTGTCTTCTATTTCCTTGCCTTAGGCAGAACTTTTCTGTAATTCTAATTGGGTTTAACAACCACACACTAAATAGACCTTAATAAAGAATACGCAGGAAGAAGGAATTGGGAGAGGAAGGCATGCAGACGTCTAAAATAATGCTAGCAAAAGCCCCACTCCACAAAGTTGTCGCTGTTTGAGTATTTGAGCAAAGCTGCTATGGGAAGCTATGTAGGTTGCTGGAAAATGCTGGGTGATTATGGAGCAAATGACTCACAGGATGATTCTTACAGCCCAACTAAATTGCTACTTGATCAATTCCTCATAAAACTCCGAACGCACAAAGCGAGGCAGTGAATCCTTTTCCATCAGGGCACGGATTCTTTTCTGGGCCACATCAAAGCTGCTCAGAGAAGGTTCCACCAGATTTTTCATTGTGATGTCCTTTGTGAAGTGATCAATATTCACCTGTGGGCCAGGAAAGAAGATCATGAGTCAGCCCAGGTTGCAGGATTCGATGAGGGTGTGAAAAGAAGTGGAATTTCTCACCAATAAAACATATAGAAGAGAGTTATAAGTGAGAAATAGCATTTCTATTTTATAGGAAATGGGGTAAGGTAACGATATTCCAGTAAATGCATGACTCAAATTACGATCCAACCAGTGTTGGGCACTTGCAATGTATCAGACCCTCCACCAGCAGCTAACACATGCATACTTCACTTTATAAATAAAAAGTGTGTGTGTGTGTGTGTGTGTGTATGTAAAGTGGCTTCCTCAAGGTCACAGTATGTGTATTTGAATCAGACTCAGAATTTGAATCCAGCTGTCTTAATGCTAATCTTAGTCTTCCTTCCATACTGTCCCGTTTCATGCCTAGTGGAGGGAGAAAAGAGGGAGAAAGAAATTGTGATCCGGGATCCAAGCCCTTTGCATGGCTCCACAGGAGAGGGGAAATGTGGTACTTCCAGGAAACTGGTTCGGACAGAATAATAATAAAAATAGCAGCTAATTATTTTCTAAGCACTTAGTCTGTGCAGGCACTGTGCTGATGAACCCATTTAATCTTCCTTTAATCTACGAGGCAGATACTGACACCCACATTTTACAATTTACCCTGAGAAACAGAAACGTTAAATGATTTTCCCAAGGTCATAAGCGGTGGAGAGGATTCCCAAGCCCAGCAATGCGGCTTTTAACCAGCAGAACGCAGTGTTGCGGGCCCCGTGGCTCCCAGGTCCTGGGGACACCGTTCGTGGCAGGGGCCCCGTGAATGGACCGCAGCGGAGGGGAAGCCTACGGCCTCCGGGGAGGCCTGAGTTGTGCTTTGAGAGCAATCAGCCGCAGGCTTTAAGGACTCCTGAGTGATCTGAGTGTGAAAGAGAAACAGACTCAACCAGTGGATCTGAATTTGAATACTGGGAAGTGCTTCGGGTCTCCCCCGGGGCTGCTGGTGGTCCCCGGTACCGAGAGAAGCTCTTGGGGTTCGGGGAATTACAGAGTGGCTGTCGGTGCGGGTCAGGGACGGAAGCATGATGCGGAGCAGCGGACAGCAGCTGTGATGGAAGGCCCGGGAAGAAGGGGGTCGGGACTGTGGTACGATTTTTCACAGCTGGGAGGGGCCGGTGAGCTTTAGCAGGCAAAGCGGAGGACAGCGGGTGTCAGAACCAGAGCAGCCTCTGGGGTGATGTGGTCCAATGCCTGCCTGTCCAGGCCAGGCTCCGAGGCCCAAGGAGGTCACGGCACATGCCCACACCCCGCCGGTGAAGGACCGAGGAGAGGCCATAGGAAAGTTTCTCTATTCTCAGTCTAGTCTTCCCGACACACTAAAGCAATGTTTCCTCCCCCTGCATTAAATATCCACTGAGCTGGGTAGAAAGCTGTCCTCAAAACGGTAGAATTTCTAAAAAGATAAAACTATCTCCTAACCTTATTTTTTTAAAGATGTGATGCATTTAAAACTCTCTAACACATTATATTCAGCAGCTCATAGCAGCTTTTAATCTTAATTTTATATATATGCATAGACCTCCTCTAATGAATCACTCTGATATATATTTATCTGAGAGGAAAATATTATTTCATTACTTTTAAATGTGGACAAATGACAATTTGCAATGTGCAAATTATCTATTTATTGAACTGCATGTGGCCATTTCTCTTTCTTAAATCTTAGTTCCAGTTCTTACCACTGTCTCTCTCCCTCAGTTCCTGGTACTAAAGAGCTGAGGTGAATATTCAGAGAAAGAAATTTAGACTACTATTTGCTCAGTAAATGTATTATATAGGTCAGTCTGCTACTAAAATCTACTAAAGATAAAAAAGTTCTAGCAAGACTTATAATGATGAAATACAGAATTAAAAGTTTTAAACCTACTAAGCAATGCCATGGCCTAGCAGTCAGCTGTGCGTGAGGCACGTTAGTGGTATAAATGTGCACTTTGATGAAATTCGCTAACAGGAAGCAAAATAGGAAGGAAAGACAGGATTGCTCAAACATCACTGGATTTTGCAAAACGCAGGGGATGTTAAAACTCTCTCTTACTTAGAAAGCCTGTACGTGTCGCCAAATTAATTTTTCCAAAGATAATCTGATGTTTTGAAGATAATTACCATTTACTAAATAAAAAAATGGCATTACAGCAAAATTAATCATTTTAAGCCTGACAAAATTATCTCATTTTAGTGCACAGCCCTGTTAATGTGGAGGTGAGAGGCCACTGTTATGCACAGCAATGGTACCATTTTACACAATTGGAGTCGTATTTCAGAATTTTAACATTCACCTGGATTTAAATACTTTCAAAATTGAAACTTTGGGCCTATGAACTAAAGGCAGAGATACACTTACAAAATAGTCCATTGTCAATCTTAGTCATTGATTTAACACAGAATTTGGTAACTTCATGGGTGGGTGGTCATGTGGGAGGTATAAGGGAAGAATATGGATTGTGTTTGGCTTAAATTTGTATAAACCAGCATATTCATGGTGGCAGGTCTTGTTTATAATATTTAGTTGACAGGAAGATATTCTAAGGGAAAGATCAATATTTTAAATAATGTATTGGCTCAACATATTTAAAAAGTCGGAATTAACAGACAAGATCAATTACTCTCATGTGAAGTTGGTCTTTCCGCATTCATATTCTTTCTCAAATTTAGGTGGTGATCCATTACCGAAACCCAATGGACCCACGTTCAATGGGATCATATCCTTGTCTTCTATTTCCTTGCCTTAGGCAGAACTTTTCTGTAATTCTAATTGGGTTTAACAACCACACACTAAATAGACCTTAATAAAGAATACGCAGGAAGAAGGAATTGGGAGAGGAAGGCATGCAGACGTCTAAAATAATGCTAGCAAAAAGGGTAAGCCCCACTCCACAAAGTTGTCGCTGTTTGAGTATTTGAGCAAAGCTGCTATGGGAAGCTATGTAGGTTGCTGGAAAATGCTGGGTGATTATGGAGCAAATGACTCACAGGATGATTCTTACAGCCCAACTAAATTGCTACTTGATCAATTCCTCATAAAACTCCGAACGCACAAAGCGAGGCAGTGAATCCTTTTCCATCAGGGCACGGATTCTTTTCTGGGCCACATCAAAGCTGCTCAGAGAAGGTTCCACCAGATTTTTCATTGTGATGTCCTTTGTGAAGTGATCAATATTCACCTGTGGGCCAGGAAAGAAGATCACGAGTCAGCCCAGGTTGCAGGATTTGATGAGGGTGTGAAAAGAAGTGGAATTTCTCACCAATAAAACATATAGAAGAGAGTTATAAGTGAGAAATAGCATTTCTATTTTATAGGAAATGGGGTAAGGTAACGATATTCCAGTAAATGCATGACTCAAATTACGATCCAACCAGTGTTGGGCACTTGCAATGTATCAGACCCTCCACCAGCAGCTAACACATGCATACTTCACTTTATAAATAAAAAGAGAGTGTGTGTGTGTGTGTGTGTGTGTGTGTGTGTGTGTGTGTATGTAAAGTGGCTTCCTCAAGGTCACAGTATGTGTATTTGAATCAGACTCAGAATTTGAATCCAGCTGTCTTAATGCTAATCTTAGTCTTCCTTCCATACTGTCCCGTTTCATGCCTAGTGGAGGGAGAAAAGAGGGAGAAAGAAATTGTGATCCGGGATCCAAGCCCTTTGCATGGCTCCACAGGAGAGGGGAAATGTGGTACTTCCAGGAAACTGGTTCGGACAGAATAATAATAAAAATAGCAGCTAATTATTTTCTAAGCACTTAGTCTGTGCAGGCACTGTGCTGATGAACCCATTTAATCTTCCTTTAATCTACGAGGCAGATACTGACACCCACATTTTACAATTTACCCTGAGAAACAGAAACGTTAAATGATTTTCCCAAGGTCATAAGCGGTGGAGAGGATTCCCAAACCCAGCAATGCGGCTTTTAACCAGCAGAACGCAGTGTTGCGGGCCCCGTGGCTCCCAGGTCCTGGGGACACCGTTCGTGGCAGGGGCCCCGTGAATGGACCGCAGCGGAGGGGAAGCCTACGGCCTCCGGGGAGGCCTGAGTTGTGCTTTGAGAGCAATCAGCCGCAGGCTTTAAGGACTCCTGAGTGATCTGAGTGTGAAAGAGAAACAGACTCAACCAGTGGATCTGAATTTGAATACTGGGAAGTGCTTCGGGTCTCCCCCCGGGCTGCTGGTGGTCCCCGGTACCGAGAGAAGCTCTTGGGGTTCGGGGAATTACAGAGTGGCTGTCGGTGCGGGTCAGGGACGGAAGCATGATGCGGAGCAGCGGACAGCAGCTGTGATGGAAGGCCCGGGAAGAAGGGGGTCGGGACTGTGGTACGATTTTTCACAGCTGGGAGGGGCCGGTGAGCTTTAGCAGGCAAAGCGGAGGACAGCGGGTGTCAGAACCAGAGCAGCCTCTGGGGTGATGTGGTCCAATGCCTGCCTGTCCAGGCCAGGCTCCGAGGCCCGAGGAGGTCACGGCACATGCCCACACCCCGCCGGTGAAGGACCCAGGAGAGGCCATAGGAAAGTTTCTCTATTCTCAGTCTAGTCTTCCCGACACACTAAAGCGATGTTTCCTCCCCCTGCATTAAATATCCACTGAGCTGGGTAGAAAGCTGTCCTCAAAACGGTAGAATTTCTAAAAAGATAAAACTATCTCCTAACCTTATTTTTTTAAAGATGTGATGCATTTAAAACTCTCTAACACATTATATTCAGCAGCTCATAGCAGCTTTTAATCTTAATTTTATATATATGCATAGACCTCCTCTAATGAATCACTCTGATATATATTTATCTGAGAGGAAAATATTATTTCATTACTTTTAAATGTGGACAAATGACAATTTGCAATGTGCAAATTATCTATTTATTGAACTGCATGTGGCCATTTCTCTTTCTTAAATCTTAGTTCCAGTTCTTACCACTGCCTCTCTCCCTCAGTTCCTGGTACTAAAGAGCTGAGGTGAATATTCAGAGAAAGAAATTTAGACTACTATTTGCTCAGTAAATGTATTATATAGGTCAGTCTGCTACTCAGTAAAATGAAGTAGTAAGCTTTTAGGTCAAAATACAAAATTTGGGGAGTTTTTTAAGTTTTAAAAGCCACAATTTATTAAGCATACCGTAGGTACACATACATGTATGTGAGATGTTTACAGTTAAGGGGCTCTGGGATTAGAAAGTTTTAGTTGCAGACTTGCTGGTAGTCACACATCTAAGAAGGTCTGGAGTTGGGATATCTGCATACATTCATTTCACAAATATTTACTGAATGCTTATTATGGGCTGGGAGCAGCATTCGCATTGTCTTCAATGCCCAGCTCAGGGAATGGAAGTGGAGGCTATTTTAATTCAAGCCCACAAATCCTTTTAACTGGGGGAGGGGGGCACCCTTTGTTTGTTCTAGCAACTCAGCTAGGGTTTGATTTGTTTTGAAACTCCATTGTTAATGTCTCATGTTTTCATGATAACCACCAAGGTTTTAATAAGGAACCTTGAGAACAGTGTTTCCCTAGAGCTCAGAGTATCAAGCAATAAATAGTCTGGACCTAGAATGGTCCCCCCCACAACAACCACAATCCCCTCCTTTGAAGGCACTGCAACAGATCCTGGAATTCTGTGAAGGGGAAGAAGTTGGTAAGGAAGGTAGGTTGGAAAACGTGAAGTTAGGAAGTGAGTGTTGAATTTCACACTCAATTAATCTCCTTAATCACATCACAGATAGAGATTCCATGCTGACTGAAGAAAGAATGGCTCAGCACAATGACACGGGAAGAAGGAGAGAGCTAACCTACGTGCCTAGTGTGAGAGACTGGGGTGTAAAAGGAGAGATGTGGAGAAGATTCCAAAGTCAATTTCTAGACTAAGATTAAGTCCAGTTCCCTCCTAGAACCCTAACTTTCCCCACCTTTAACTCATGGTATCTACACTCTCATGCTGCCGACCCCCACATCCTATGTCTTGGAGAAAGCTCCTCCACTGGTGTGACGGCATATAATTTGTCCACCCACTCAAACATATACACCCTTTAAATGGATCAGTGACGAGTAATTCACAGCCAAAGGAATAAATATCAAATGTTGGAACTCCAAGTCTAAAGCACCTGTGAGAGAAAAGGGATAGTGAGGGTTTTTCCTCTTGAATCACCTTCAGTAGATTACTGCCTACCTGCAAGGTTTGCTCAGGTCCCCTCTGTGCTTGACCTCAAATCTTAATGAAACTTTTAATTGGATTAATACGGAGTTTGAGTGACCTAACCGAAACACCATGAACAGGTCTTGCTGAGACCACCCTCGGTTCTACAAAAGGCCTTTCAATGCAGTTTCATAAATAGTAAAGAGCACATAAATTACCCCAAACATCTCGGAAATCCAACACATCTTGTCTTCAGCATCTAATTAATAGTATATATTTTTTCAACATCTATAGCACTGTTATCTCCCGATACTTTGATTTTTGTAAGTAGACACCCTGTTGTCCCAAAAGAGTATAAATGATAAAGGGCTGAGGGAAACAAAGGGCTGGAGGTGAGTAGAGAAAAAAGAGAGTTTTCAAGAAAAAGAAAGGGAGGGGAAGGAAGAGAAAGGCATGGAAGATAAGGGGTAAGAGTACTTATTAGGCATCAGTTAATTCAGACACACAGATGCAGGTTTCCACTGCCGCCGCTTCATTTCATCCTCACGGCGCCCCTGCAAAGCAGTCTTCGAGATGCTCACTTTCACAAAGAAACGAAGTTCAGAGAGACTCACTAGCTCATCCAGGTCACACAAGCAGCATTCTTCCCACTTGAGATCACATGCTGCTGGGGTGAGACCCACACTGTTTTTAGGAAGTGGTGTCCACAGGATTCAAGTTCTCGTCTGCTTGAGCCTCGTGCTGTCTTTGCACTGTCTTCCCTTCCCTCCCCTTGGCGCTTTGCACGGACTGCATGGCAGATGGGAGCCCTTGCAGCAGAGTGGTTGGGCTGACCCTCGCCGACCATGCTCACCCAGCTACCCATCAGGACCAACCTCTTTAGGAGCCTCCGTTTGGATGAATTCTTCATAAATTTTCTTTGCCATCTCAGCCATCTTGGCAGGGGACTTGACCCTCTTGTACTCCTCACAGGCAATCCAGAACTCAAGGTTTTCCTCGCTAAATTCAGACTTCAGGAAACTTTTGAAGCTGGCAAGTCCATCTAGCAAGGAAAAAGGTTGGTTGGAGAAACAGATCTGTCTATCGATCACCTGTTTATCAGTATATCCCAGTGGACCACTTACATAAGAAACTTACAAATGTTAACATATTTGCTCTTCATTTCAAACCTAAGAGGCAGGCCCTATTAACATCCTGTTTTACAAGAAGTCAGAGAGGTCAAGTAACCTGCCCTTAAGTAGCCAGCTAGTGAATGGCAGTGCCAGGATTCAAATCTAGGCAGTCTGTAGTTGGGTGGTGAAGGTTTACCTATAAATAGTATCAAGGAATACTGGCAACACTATTGCTGATCTGGACACTTACCAATTACCAAAAAGGAAAACATGCGTAAGTAGTATTAATGTTAGTTATTGTGCCTAAACTACTTACAATCCAGTTTTTCTTTCTGCAGATGAATTTTGAGCAAATAAAATGTTCCAGGCATGATGAGCGTTCACTATGATGAGTAAAATAGACGTGGATGCTGCCTAGTGGAGCTTAGGTATTCAGGAGGTAGACAGACAATGAAGAAACACAAAACACAGACCTTACAAAACAGGAAACCGGATGAAAGGAACAGAGTCACCTAACGTCGCGAGAGGTGTAGGGAAGGCCTCGGCCAGGAAGTGGCAGTCAGCTGAGCGGGAAGGGGCCTGATGAGGTTCCTGCGTGCAGTCGTTACTAGGCCCAATAATTACACATAAGTTTTTAAAACATTATTACATCTGCGAAAACTGTAACTACTGTGATTCTGTTTTCAGTGTACTGTTGTTCACGTAGAATAGACTTTAGCTTATAATTTAAATATATTATGGATATACATTTAACATGTAATATGTGGACAGTATAATATATGTATATATTTGTATAATATGTATATTAAAATAATATAATTCTTATACAAAAATACAGCTATACACAAATATATGCATGAGAGATTCCTGGACCTGATCTTACTTTTTTCTTTCCTACCCTTCCAGCTCCAACCTCTAAAATGGTCAGTGGAAGGTAAGGTGAGGATCTAGAAAGGCACTGGAGAGGAATGAAGGAAAAGTCAATCTTTACCTTTAATTTTCCTCCTTTTTAAAGCTAACTATATATATATATTTTTTAAACCAAAATTCTAGCAAATTCTTTTCTATAGAGAGAGAATCCATATCCATATATTATCCTAGGAAACTGGATTTCTAGAGGGAGGGGAGGAAAGAATTCCAGTTTTCCGCAGACTCTATCACAACCACAGGCTGATTCTCAGCTGCATGCCTGGCGTGTTACTTGCCCCCTAGGGCAGAAGGCAGGACTGACTGTCGTCAGGACATTAGGGTCCAGTTTTCCTCTAACTTGGCCGCCATCAAGACGCACTTACGCAATCCATTAGTTCTGCTTAGAGAACATATTCATGTGTTGAATTCATGTCCTTTGACCTACTTTCAATCTATTTGTCTTTCTCTTGAGTATTTCTCCCTACTCGTTTTTTACAGACTGTTTTCATTGATGCATCATTGTCTAAAACATTGATTTCATCCAACATGTATGAAATGCACATGATTACGCCAGGATACATGGTTGCCTTTTCTTAGTTTTTCTTCCACACATTTTTATTGTCATGACCGTCATGTCCCCTGCAGCCACATTCTATTCTAAAGAAACAGAATGGGTGGGTGATAATTAACTTGGATAGGGTCACCAGCAATTTCTGGCTCCAACAAAATACTTTGCATCTTAATCTTTTCTACCTATACTAAGCTAAAAACATTTTTCATTGATCAACACCTAAAAATACATCTAGGAGCCATGGTAGGTATGATACACAATTTTCTCTAGAAACCTTGCTAGTATTACTTTGAAATCATTTGAAAATGTGCACCTTAATAAAGTCAGGTATATTTTCCCTCTCTTCTCGCTTGTATTTCCTACGATATTTCTAACATTATTTGTTATAATTTTAGTGATGTTGGAGTCAGCATATATGCTGGAAGAAGAAAGGAGGCCTTTTTCTCTCTGTCATGGTTCAAGTTTTCACTGTTTCTCAAACAAAAGGTGTCAGGTAGTCTCTGTTGAAATGGAAAACTCCCAGGCACTTTGGAGCTGCCAGGAAATGACAGCGGGAATAAAGTCTTACGAGCTGCCACACAACCTGACGGGTGCCTGTGGAGGAGGCAAGCACTTCACAGAGCAAGTCTGGGCCCGATTTGATCTCATTAGCCCGAGTTCCCACCACCTCTCAGGCGCTCTGAATCACCCATGTCCCAAACACTGTTATTTATGACCTGAGGACGCATACCAGGATTCCACAAGGTTAACGTTTACCACGTATCCAGGGAATGAGCTTGGAAAACAACTTTTCGGTACAGTAAGTCCACTTCCTGGGTACTGGCTTCACCATTCTCGAATTCCCCCCTATTATTTCAAGGCTTTTTGTCAACAGACACACCTTAAACCAAGATGCATAAAGCAGTTTTATGTTCTACTGGTCTGGGAGATGTTTAAAGCTCTTCTTCTCTCATCTGGCTTTTGAGAAGTCTCTGGAGGGTCCCTTACGAGGACCTTCTGGGGTCACTTCCCAGACACTTTCTCTTACGTGGCATCTGGTTTTCTTATTGTTCCCCTCCTCAGAGACTTGAATCGCCATCGCCCCTGAGGAAGTCCTCTTGGGCCAGTCAAATGAACCCCAGGTGAATGTCTCTATTCTTTGCCTCACATCATTCCCCTGACCACCCCATACCCGGGAGAGCCCCCAGCACAAACCCCTAACAAATCCCACCCTTCTCCCCGCGGAGCCCGTTCAGAGCCTTGGGGCACTTCTGATGTTCATCGGTGCCTCTGGTCCTGCCGAAACACTCTGGGTTCGGACCCACATTATAATCCCAGAGCCAGCCTCAAGGGGTGCTGCCGCCTTGGACATCTACACAAAACAGAGCAGCAGCCCCACCAAAGGGTGAGTGAAGCCACCTGGAAACCCACTTTGAAAATACAAGGAGTGTTAGGCAGATCCTAGTTAGTTTGCTGTAGAGGAAAACTGGTGAGAAGTTGCTGATAGTTGGAGTGCCATCCCTTAGCTTCCTGGTTCAAAGCACAGGGTCCAGGGCCAGGACCGTGACGCTGGCACATTCCATTACGCCAGTAGCTCTCTGAGCCTCAGTTGCCTCATCTGTTAAATGGGGATAATACTGGAACCTACCTGGTAGGGTTTGGGGTAAGGATTAAGTAATTCACGTAAGCTCTTATATGGGGTTCAACATAATGGTAGCTCAATACATACTGGTTTTCATCATCATTAGTCATACCCGATTAATCGTCACTCAAACTCCAAATCAAATGCTGCTTTATATTGTGAGATAAACTACCCTCCGCTCTTAAAGATGTTTATAATTGTGAGAGAAGAGCTCACTTCCTAATCTTTCACCGTGAGCGTTTGCTTGTAAGTCTGTCATTTCCAGGAGGTTGTTAATTCTTTGAGTTCAGGTCTGACTTTGGCTTACCTTTGAGACTCTTGCAGCCCACCTCCTGTCTAAATCTGTGCACCTAACATTTAACAGAGGTTTGGATTTTAATTAAATAAGGCCCTCACAGAAAGCACTTCCTCCCAAATCAGAGAACCAAAGAACACAGACTTTAAAGAGAAATACATTTACTGCTTTATATTGCTGTAGTATTTCATCTCATGGGCTGGTTACCTAAGTGCTCTGTGCCTCAGTTTCTTTTTCTGGAACATAGAGATTGCTATCGTACCAAAGTCCTAAAATTATTGCAATCATTAAATAAATTAATATATGCAATGCGATGAGGACAGTGCCTTGTGCATGTGAATAATAAATGCAAGCTATTGCTTTTCTTATTATAATTACCACTTTGCAGGAGCTGGTGCAGCCAGCTAGTAAGATGAGGATAAAGGTGAGCCGGAAAACGGAAGAAGATTGGAAACCAAAGAGACAGAAGCAGAAAGAGGATGCAAAGGTGGGGGGCAGGGGAGGAACTTGGGTTCATGCTTTTCCACTCCCCAAGGGACAGTCCAAATCTCAAGGGTGTCTCAGGGAAATGTTCTGACCCCTTGGAGCTGCTGGGGGGAAAGAATCCACATACAGACTTGGCTGCTACGGGGTTGTGTTTCATTCTTTCCCTGCTCCTAGAGACGATCTGGTGGAGGAATTTGATGTCACTCTCGTATTTGAACTCCCATGTGCAGATGTGTTTCTGCGTTTAAAGAACAATACACTGTCATATGCCCCATGGGCCTACTGAGTGAAGACAGACGGTGTCATCCACAGAACCGAAGGGAGAGCATCTAAGAAACTGACATTCTTTCAAAACAGACTCAAATATGCTGGGTGATTAAAAATGGTTTTTAAAATGAAGAAAGGTCAGAGAAATCTTGCAAGCCAGAAAAGACTGAACAGCAGCTCAATTGTCTTAATGTTTTAGAGGTTAGGTACCAACTGATTTCATTTCCACTCAAGGAAAATGTGGATTTAAAGAATGCCTGGGAACTGTATCACTTGTGAGAATCAATATCCTACATTAGCAGAAGGGAGTGCCAAACGTTCCTAATAAATTAACAAAGATGCCACCTCCTCCCAAAGTCTAAATGGTTTAGGTTATCAGATCAAACATGCAAGAAGGGAGTGTCAAGTTTGAAATGTGTATATTTCTCAATGTATCTTTCTTCACTACCTATTTTATATCAAGTTGTCTTAGTTACTAAAGCTAAAGTTAGATATTTCTGATTACAGACCGTTCATTTCAGCAGATTCAAGTAAGAACATCTCATAAGAACTGACTTGCCAAAGTTTGGTTTGAAGTCATTTATGATACACAATAGCTGGTGTTTGGGGGAATGAAGTCAAGTATTGCTACTTGAGGTTGACAGAGCCAGGGGAGAATGATTTGGGCATGCCTGTCACGCTGCTAGTCCCTTCTCTAGGAGTGGCCACAAAGAGAGAAGCAGGGACACAGAGGTCAAGATGGAAATATTAAGAGGAAGAGAGAGACAGTAAGAACAGAGAAATAGAGACAGAGCGAGGGAGAGACTGTCTTATTTTCTAATGGCCTCAGCTCCTAGAGGGCATGGCTGTCCTCTAATTCTGTGAGATCTCTATATCCGTACCAAAACCCCTCTTTTTCACTCAAACTAGTTTGGACAGATACCCTTTCAAGAAAGGAATTTTGATTAGAATAGTTATCGAATGCTTTTCCACTTATTACTTGGGAACGTTAATTGCCCAGTCTTAGAAATGTTAATTACTTAAGAAGATAGTTTTGTGGAGTTTAAGATTATATATTACATATGCACACACATTATATACACAGAGACACTGTTTACACACATACATATCCATATATAAATTAAAGATATAATTGAATGAAATATTGTGAATATATAATACATATGTATTTACACAAATACATATGTGCATATATTTTTTCCCCTCTAAGTAGAAAGCATTACTGTGGGAACCTGGGGCCTCAAGCTCACACCATAGTCTTCATCTACTGGCGAGCTGAAAGGCTTTAGTACCTCAATGAATTATAAAGTGCTAATGACTGCCTCTGGCTTCACTTCTGTCCCTCTCTGTCTTAATCCCGATAGCTCTCTGTCTCCTAAAAGCCTAAAACCTGGGTATGTGGCCCTGAGGATTAGTATGATTAAAAAGGATTGTATGTGGGAGTAAAAATATATGTCCTTCTCCTTAAAGGGTTTGAAAACAGGGGAATAGTTCTGCTAATTCTCAGGTTCCTTGACAACAGCAATAAATACCTGTACCCAGGATGCTTAGCATTCAGTATGTATCAATATGTCATCTGTCGAGTTGCAATTGTCCTTAGACTTGTGGTGGAAGCCAATAAATAGGTCAATGATGAACATAAATATTTCCCTCTTAATGGACCTCTGGGTCCATTAAATGAACTTCTGGATCCAAGAAGCAAAGTGAATTAATTTGTTCACCCACTGGGTCAATAAACATTTACTGAACACTTTATACATGTCAGGGCAGCACTCTCTGATTAGCACAAGAAATAAAATGAGAATCAAAAATGGACACGATCGAGAAAGTTCCAAATTACGGGTTCTGGTGTTCTGCCTCTAAATATCAATATTGTTTATATCAGAGGTAAGCAGGAGCTTACTTCACCAAAAACAAGACGTAAAAAAATGCTCATATACAATTCAGCCTATGGGGTGTGTCATCTCCTCTGTACCCATTAATCATGATGGTCCTTTGAGAAATATTTTTTAAATCTTCATTTTTGCAAAGCACCTAACCAAGTTCATATTCCATTTGTGTGGTAAGGATGGAGAAATACGGACTGGATACCGTAAACCAAATCATATTTGTAAAGTGAACTCTTCAACCAATACTTCTTTTCTCCATGCTGGGCACATCCTGTTGTGAAATTATCCAGATAAAAATGACTATGTCCTGGCTGTCAATATATCATAAGAGGGAGACAACTAGGAAGAAGGTACATGGCAGCCAGTCTTAAGTGGCATAAAACAGGTGCAGACAAACGGCTCTGGAAGCTCAGAGGATAAATCCTTCTGAATGGTTAAGACTAAGCATTTAGCATTAGATTAGCTTTCATAGAAGAGGGGGAATTTTATGAATACAAAGCACCCCGGGGAAGGGTCACAGGTGGAAATCCTATATGGAGGGGAGAACACTTCATATGCTGCAGACCAGCCGTATAGTTATCATGGAAAACCTTAAACATTGGAAATTTGAACGGGATACTACAGGACCTGGGAACCAGCAAGGCTTTTAGATTGAGGGAAAAGCATGCCAGCTCAGGTGTATTGTTTGGTATCAGCTGGGCGGGCAGCTCCTGTGCCATGTCTTGAATGAAGACATAAAAGGCATACGGCCAACAGAGGAAAGCAAGGATGGGGGACATAAAAACCCACGTCAGGTCACGGAAGCAATTAATAGGAGTTTGAACCAGGACATGCTGCCCAATCCACGCCTCATAGTTCAGGGGCCTTTACAGTGACAGAGCCAATCCTCATCAAGCCACGGCGAGACCAAGCTGGAAAAGGTGGCATCTCCATTTTGCTGATGAAAATAGGAAGCAGCCCACAGGTCAAGCCCCTTGCTCCGGCTCACATAGTAAGCAAGACAGATAGCAGCGCAGTGTGCGATCAAGAGAGCTCAGGACACTCCGTTTTCATGTTCGCCCACAGCTCAGAAGACCTGTCTCTTCATGCGAGCTGGATGACCACATGCCCTTGGCACCCTGCCCTTCTGGAGGCCACTTTGATACTGAAGAAATGTCCAGATTGGGGAAGAAGGACACGGGCAATACAAAGGTGCCTTTTGGCTCCATCCCTCCCCTGACCCTCACAAAACGTAATTCAGACTTACAGTTGTTCTGCAGAAGCTTGTCCAGGGAATCACGCCACTGCAGGACCTCATCGGGGCTGGGCCTAAATCAAGAATTGAGGAAGAAAAAGGTGACGACCGTGAGAGGGGAGTTTCCCATACACACCAACAAGGACTTAGACCTGTTTTTCTTAGAAATGATCAACCGATGACCATCCTGAACACAAGTGTGTGGGAGTGGTTTTTTTTCTAACAATGAGCTTTATGAGCTGGGTTTGCTCTCACATATATGGCAGATTTTCATCTCTTTTTGGTCAATTTGGTTAGGACTGTCCCTTTTTTAGGAGTCTGTCTTGATATTCTTATATATCCCTTGACAGAACCTCCAACTGTGGTTGTTTCTTCCAAATGTAACTGAATGAAATCCAATTGTCCCTTTACAGAGATGGAACTCAGGTTCTCTACTTCCTCAATGCTGCACTTTAACCACTGGACTTCACCAGCCAAGGGCATTCGCTTCTACGTCCACATCCCTTCCCAGCAAGGCCGTGGAAGAGGGACTGTGTCATGCTGCTTCCTGTTGGGTGTGTGATCAGAGCAAGAACACAGTTTAAAAAATCTGATTTTTCCTTCCCAGTTAGGAAAGGATCATGATTTTTGAAAGAATTACTTGTCTGAGAAGATGGTTCTACATTGTGACTAGGAATGCTGTGCACAAATACTCTCGATGCTGATTGAAAAGGGAAGGTAATAGCCAATATATAATTTCCTCTTAATCTGTTTTTGCTCTAATACTTGTATATGCATGAACCCTGCAGCTATTTCATTTTAACCACCAAGTTTTGTCTCACAGCAGGACTGGGTCAAGTCAGGCTGGAGCTGGCTGGGAAGGGGGCTCCCTGTGCTCTGGAGGGGTTCCCCAGACTCAGACTCTTGCATTAAGATGTGAGTTCTTCACTGTCAAGTCAAAACAGGCTAACGAGGCATTTATTAGAATATTAAAGCCGATGAAGGTGTTTCTCCTAGATTGGAATTTCCTTCTCTCTTAACCAGCCTACCTACTCTTTAGACATTTCGGGAAAATTGCTGTTTCTGGTTTTTAAAAAATAATGTCTTTAAAAAAATATCTTAATTATTCAGACTAGCAGCTGAGGTTGATAAGACAACTGCTAATTTCACTTCTCATTTTGCTCTCCAGCCTTGGATACACTTCACTTTATTTATGTAAGAGTCTGAGATAGCAGTAGATATTTTGGCTAAAGTATTGCGAATAATTCCTTTACCTCTGAATTCCTCACTGTAAAACATGTATAAATATTGAATCTTAATTATATGATTTTTCCATAAAGTTTTATGTTTTTACTATCTCAAAGTTAAACATGCCAAAAATGAGAGTACCAAACCTGGTGACATAATGTTGAAAGGTTTCTTTTTTCCTGGCTAGACACCTAGGTGTCATCAATTAAAAACTCAATACTGACTTCTTGAAAAGTTATTTTTAATAAGTGAACTACCTTCCCTCCCTCCATTTTCTTCTGGTTAAAGGTCCACAGGAAGGAGAGAGGACATGAAGAATGGATTACAAATATGTCCCTGTATTTTTCTGCCCCATTTTATTTCTAACTAAAAAAGGATTTGTTTTCCAGAGATCAATAACTCCATTTGGCCCTCATGTATTACCTCATACTGAGAACTTTTCCTATGTATATATTATTTTGTACCTACACTTTTAGCATCAGACCTTACATATCTTAATGTTTTCACTACAGTGGGTTCAATGTTTTGCTTGAAATAGATACCCATCAAGTCTTTCTTGATTGTGGATGGAAAGAGCAGGACATTGCAGGATATTAAATAATTAGAGAGAAGAAATAGCAAGGGGAAGGCCCTGCTCACTCACTGAATCTCTTCCTGATCTGATAAAGATTCTCATAAAATGAAATGGCCTTCCCTCCGGTCAGTGTAGGGGGGCACAGGAAGAAGAAATGACTCAAGCAGGTGCACCGGACTTATGCATGTTACCAGGTCCAATTTGTCCCCAGTAGTCATGTTAGCACCAGACTAATAGTCAGCCTCAGCAGCTCATCACAGCCACGATTAAGTTCCTGAAAAGGATGTGTGCAGAACCTGCCTGGGGCTTGTAGTCAGCCAAACGGATTCAAGGACACAGTCAAGCGGATCGCGTGCCCTACAGCACAAAGCCCAGCCTTCTGATTACCAGCCGAAGAGGTAACAGGTTCATCCTGTCCTGATCCTCAGACTGTGCCAGCCCCCACTAAGCCTGACTTCTTTGGAAATCAAACACATGTGATCCAAATGACTAATAAGTCTCGGGACCACAGAGCTGACCACAGAGTCTCTGGGCGTGGGTGTGGGGGCAGGCGAGGAAGCCAGCTCCAGTGGAAGGCCAAATAGACACTTAGGGAGGTGATTAACTGCGTGTTTTATAACGCCCAGTGTAAATGCCGCCTGGTCCAGGAAGTGCGCATCTGGGCTGGAAGAGCCGTCTCCCTTTCCACACTCCAACCACACGTACCTGCTGAACGCCTTACATGGCAACACTGTACTCCTGCCCAGACGCACAGCTGGTCAGCCATGGACAGTTTTCCGCATTCCACCCTGTCTACTGGCACATCCGCTGTAACTATAATCTACCCTATTATAAATGCATGTCAAGTTAATGCATAAATTAACAATGGTTCAATTGCCATAGTCTAGTTGACAAGAGCCACAGATAACCCAAAACTTGGATTTCATAAACTGCAGCCCCGTGAACCATTCCTTCAGCTACTGACAAGTCTGACACTTACTAGCTGTAATCATGTGGAAGTATTTTAACTTCTCTAAACACCAGTGGTTTTCTTCCCTGCCCTGCTTTTAATTTTAATCTACCCAGTCCCTGGCACATATTTAAACCCTTCTGGTAATGTTCTCACATGCTCTTGCTTTTGACACGGAAAATGAAATTATTTATTGGCCCTTCTAAGTGCCTGCTCTGCTCTCCCTTCCAGCAGTGCAACCTGCTCCTGCCTAGTGTCAAGTCCATGAACATTTATTGAGCCCTTACCCCATGGCCCACAGGAACCTGGGCAGCATGGATGGGGATACAGATAAAAACACCTGCCACTTTTTAATGTCTATCTGTTGGCCAAACATTGTACACACATCTTCAGTCCTCACTCTGTCGTTTGCCAGATCAGAGCATGCCTACCAAAACCCTTTGTAAGAGTTCTCTCTGTGCACAGGCTAGCGTCTCTTTATATGTGGAGGTCATCCTAGAGCTCTAAAGTGGTAAAACAGCAACAAAAATGTAGTTAAAAATTAGTGACATTGGCAGGGAGAAGGAACATCTCTAATTAGAGTATCTATGTCAGCTGCTGCACATGTTGCAATTGATTATAAACCATGACAAGACTTACTGGAAACTAAGTTTATGTGGCTTAGCTTATTGTTTATTATGAGGACCTCCACCCAAGCCTTAAGAAATGCTCACATAAAGAGGGTGGGCAAATGCGGGAGCCATCAGGGCGAGACGACGGGGACGATGGGAGGAATTCAGGGTTCGAAGTTACGGAAGGGAGTTTTATGGAGCCCAGCTCAAAAGCAGCATCAAATGCTGCCTACACATCACAGGGTGAGGTTCACACCTGGTAAGAAGCTACAGAAGATACTAGAAGCAATGACCTTCTTCTAGAATTATCCAGTGAAAGGAAGAGAAAGGGACAAGAGTTGGGAGAATGTTTTCCGAGTGGAACATGGGTACAGATTTCTTCCCAGTGGAAGAGGGTCCAGAGGGAAAAAGCACAAGTAATACTGAAATGGTAATGAAAGCTGGTTGTCGGGGGTGGGGATATAGGCAACTATTTTCTTCTTTTTCTCAATGGCTCCATTTTTTTTTTCCTAACTAGAAGAATAAAAAATATATTTTAAAAATAGAAAATGCTTAGAAAAAAGATTTTTTTCTAAAAGATGAGAGTTGTTAAAAATACCTTCGGTCCAGAGATTTATTTTGTTCTCTGAGGTTGATTTTCTTCTCTGTGAGGGGAACATGGGTACAAAACAAAATACCGGGAGATTTTGAGAGGGAAAAGGGAGACCAATCGAGTTCATGCAAACACAAATCTTTTCCTGTTTGTGAAAAGACATGGAAATTCACCGAACAGGGGGTGGAGGAATGAGGTTTAGGGGTTTGGAAGACGGTGGGAAAGCTTTGTCAGGGTCACTGTTAAAACTGCAGGAGAGACGCGCAAATAGTCCCTCGGGATATAAAGGATATTTCTCCATAACAATTCAAACTGCTGGAAGGAAAAAGGGGATGGAAGACAAGAGAAGAAAATAATCCAATAAATGTCAGCCCCAGGTTTTCTTCCGAAACTGCTTCTCTCTGAATCCCTGTTAAGCCACCTAGTTCAGGTGTCTGTGTGGTGTATTAAGGCGGAGAATCAAAACAGGGAATGGAGTGCTGTATTTTTTTAAAGCTAATTCCAACAGATCAATAACCACCCCACTGTTTATCTCCAAATAGGCTTTTTGATCTGTTGCTGCTCTGAAATGTGGTTCTTACTCTGCATTACCGTCTGGCGCCTGCCACTCCACACGGAAGAAGCTTCTCCTTTCTAAACGCAGAAAACTCAATTACGCCTCGCTTCCGGTCTGGGATCCCTTTGAAGTCACAAAAGGAGAATGGAAATAGCCACTTAGGTTGTGGGAAAGGATTAAAAAAGAATAACCCATCTCTGTGTCTCCCAACTAGTGCAGCTCTATCAAGTGGAGGGTATTTGGATGAAGAAAAGATAGGCCAATTTATCCAAATGTTAAGTTTTTAAAAGAAATGGATGCAAAAGGGATTCCTGTATTTTTACCACACTTCAGTGGTCTCCTCAAAGCTTTTAGGTCGTCGAGTAAAGGAGTTTGAATATATGTGGCTCTTCCCGTTTTCCTTTGATTTTCATGGTTACCTCTGATGTAAAGGGAAGTGTACTTGTTTGGGGCAGTGATGGGCGTGAGGCTTGTGGAACAATAGTAAACAACGTGAGAATGGTGAGTAGTGGTAAGTAATGGTAGAGCCAATGCAGATCATGAGCTGGGTTCACTGCCGTAACATCTGGAATTTTTAAAATTATTGTTTCCATCCATGCCTAAATTATCAGAAGGTCAGGGGGGAAGAGAGGTGGGGAAAAGGGAAGGGGGTATGTAGAGTCCAGTCGGGAACACTAATGAATGGACTGGGGGAAATGCTTGCTGTGAGAATTAAACAGCTGGCCAAGGATTCATTCTTCCATCAAGGAAGCTTCTTCTGTTCCTCTGCTGGACCTTAAAGGGAGGTAACTGCACAGGTGGCCCCCTTTTGATGAAGCCCCTGAGACTTAAAGAGAAGCCCGGGTGCCTCAACTCTGACCCAGAGTGTGAGAACTAAACTGCATAATTAGAGATTAAAGAAAATGTGAGACTGTAAACCAAGGTAAAGCAAACTAAACAAAGGACTCTTAGCTCCCCTCAAAGCCATAGATAAACTCTTGACTCATGTATCCTTTCAGTAATTTGCAGGAATTTAGATCCCCACCAGCTGGGCCACCTCCTGATAACAAGCACGTAGACCGCAGACTAGCTGCAGCCAGAAGACTGGACGCTAAGACTCCTGAGACAGCTCCCGCTCCATAACCTCACCACAGACCAGTCAGAAGAAGGGGGACCAGCTGCCCACACACCCAGCAACCCTTTCCCATCATTTTGCCTTGGCCAAGGCACCCCCACGGGGAGTTCAGGACCTTGCTCATTGGCCACCATTCTCCCTGCTTGACGCCAGCAGTGAATAAACGCCCACTTTCTCTCACTGCACCCCGAGAGCGTGCTTTTGCTGGGCGTCAGGCAAGCAGACCCAGGTTCGTTTGGTTTGGTAACAGGGACGATATCTTGGAGAAGAAACTATTAGGCTTGATCTTAGCCTCTTCATGTGGGAATGTTTCCACCTTACCTTCCTGCTGAGGAGCGGCCTGGGCTGGTTCCCTAGCAGGTGGGCATCATGACCACAATTAATTGGCAGGAATGGTTACCTGCCCCCAGGGCTGCAAGCAAGCAGGTCATTTTTCCCACACATCAGCGTGGCAGCTTAATGACGTGGTGGATGCCTTTTGATAAGGTTTGGTCTCCAACAAGGTCCAAGGCAGAGGCTTACCTTTACTTCTTAAGCATCTTGCCAGGATGTGACGTTATTCTCCAGACAGGAGAGTCGAGAAAGAATTGTTTATCTATAAACCAGCTCTCTGAGGGATCTTAGGATCCTCAGTGAGTAATTGCAGGGGGATGTTCTACAGATGAGAGATGGAGCTATCACTTGAAAAGTAGCCATCCTCTGGGGAAAAGGAATGGAATGTATATTCATGACTCACTTCTGGGTCTTGGCGGGTTTCTCTGGCTTCTCGGTATATGGAATGACAAGGTCAACAGTCGAGTCTGGCTTCTGGAGGAGAATTCCCAACTTGATTTTAATCTCCTTGGCCCTGAAAGAAGAGGTATCAGGGGGACAGGAACACCACGTGAGCATGCAGATCCGAAAACAAGATTCCTGGGTCAGAGAAACAAACCTGAACAAAACCCCATTTCCCTGTTGTGGCAGAAAGAATACTAATGTAGAAATTGGGACACATGGGTTCTAATAATTAACATTCTTGAAGCTCTTATTAGGTCCCTGGCTAATCTGCATTGTCTTTTTCCACATGGCAGACGATGAAGCATTATTCGCATTTGACAAACGAAGAAACCGAATGACAGAGAGTTTTAAATAATTTATAATCCAGCCAGAATGTGGCAGAGAGGTAACATGGGCCCAAGCTATCTGACACTAGAGTTTGTAGGTGGAACGAGTCACGGCATTTTCCACCTGACTTCCATGAGCTCTGGTCCCAGCTCTGCCATTGGTTAGTTGCATGACGTTTGAAAAAAATTATCATTTTTTACTGCAGACCTCAGTTCCCTCTTCTGTAAAATGACAGACTTAACCTAGGTATGCCCTTCAGCCATTTTCCACCTGTTTGAAGAGTTACTTCTCTATAAAGTGTCTCACACGCCGTAAGCCTTACACAGATAAGTACTAATTGCCAGTGGACCGACTACAGCAACGTTACACATTTCTTTTCCAGCTTCAGCATTTTAATGAGCAGATGTGCTCAGAATTCTGGGCACTACCCAGCACAGGATGCCACCATTTTCCAGCCCAGTTTCAAAACTAACCTTTTAAGTTACCCATGATTTTATCACGACTCTGAACTCAGAAAGACCCAGCAAATCTTAAACATGGCTTGATAAGACAGTGTGGCATACTGGGTGATCCACAGAGCAGTCATGCCACTCTCACCTTGACCCTTTACATGTACTTGGAAGATAGAGTTTATCATCATGTGTATCATTATCAATTTACGTGTCTGCTTTCCAAGCTGGATATGAGACCTGCTTGAAGGGGGACATGGAGACTTAACCCCTTTTAGCTCCTGTGTAATCATCACAATGCTAGAATGCAAGGCCACATAGTCAACATTCAAAAACATTTGCCAAATAGGACTACAACATGTGGATTCTCTTCCTCACAAATCTGCTAACATTTAGCTCCTGGGCAATGCTGATCATAAAGTCTTAAAGAGCTGTGACGGGATTCATGTTGCGACTGGATCACGTTTTGCTCCTATAAACACACTTCCCTCATCCATTCACATGGAGACAGTGATGAGAAAACTGAAGTAAACAAAATGCATAGGATGAGCAATTATGTCTCTCAGGGAGAGGAAGTTAAGGAAATCTGTGTAACTTAACCTCTGCAAATGTCGAATCACATCATGTTTTCTTTTAGTGTTGTAAATACGATTTTGAAGTTATGTTTTCGAATTAGTCGTGTCTAGAGTGTCTTTTCATTTCTTTCTTTCTGTTTCCATTCTCTCCCTAAGATTCTCTCTCTGGCTGAAGTCAGCTCTGGCTGTTGGAATATCTCACACTACAGCAGACTTAGCTCAGTGGAGCACAGCATTATGGTTGAAACTGGGAATGTTCCGTTGAGGGAACTTATATGAAATATGAGAGTAATGGTAGGTAAGTGTCACTTTGACTGCAGGCTCTGCAAGTTGCTTAAAGTATCTGGGGTTTCATTTTCTTGCCTAGAAATTGGGACTGATAAAATAGCACATCCGCATAGAATTTTCTGTGATGATGAAATACACTAACACATGTGAATCACTTAGCTCAGCATTGGGCCTATAATACTGTCTCTTTGAAATTAGTTCTAAGTGCATAATTGTTGCTCTGGCCACCTCAATCCATGTTCCTTAGCTTCGAGTACCAAATTAAAAGGTCCAAAAAGTTTCCCACATGTTGCTAAGAATTACTACACCCACCACCTCCTACATTCTACCTCTGGAAGCAAGAATCACCAATTTTATATTTATCTGAAATATGAAGAAAACCTTATTTGGGAGAGGGAGGAATGCATGCAATATTTGTGGCTACCCTCTGCTGGCCCGGTGTAGTACTCTAGCTGCAAAACGCAGGTCTGTTTTTCTATCTCACCCAGCTCTGAAGAGCTTCACGCACACTCCCTCCCCTCCCGTCTCCAGGAGCCAGAGGGGTCCTGCAGCAACTGTTTGCAGTGTTTTTATACTTCCTTTATTCATTACTGATTTCCTCCTCAACCACGTCTCCCATGTCAGCAGTACACAGTAAACAGGCAAACCGCTCCCCGGCTTAGGCCTTACCTTCAAGGTGCTTTAGCCTGCAGGGGCTTCACACTTGTGAACAATCACAAGCAGGTGTTCAAGGAGGGGATGTGCAGAGAGCAGCAGAGCTCTGGGGGAGGACACCACGTCCACAGGCCGAGTCAGGGGCTTCTCAGTGGAGCAGGGCTGGAGCAGCACTTAGCCAGGTGGGTAAGAAAAGGACAGGCTGTCTGGGCAGAAAGAGGGGGCTGAAGCCCATAGCCCCGAGCAAGTTCACTATGGATTCAATGAGACCAAAAAAATGACAGTGGAATGTTCTTGGGTGAAAGGGTTTATAACCAACTTTATTCCCACGGTGACAGGTCGATTGCTAGAATCCCATCCGCCTCAGAGCCAGTCTGTGTGCAGCAGGCCGGTCTCTGCCTCTGGGCCCCTCTGCCCGCAGCCGTCTCAGCCTCTGTCCCCGGCGCTGCCACCGCTCCAGCCTCTGCTCTCCTGCAGCCGTGCAGCCCAGAGCACTGGGCGGAGCTACTTATATAGAGTCAATAACAACGTATTACCCACACGTGCGTAGTGAGCCAGCTGACCAGGGCCAGGTGAGAATCCTGGCCACAGGAACCTTCCCTTGCTCCGCACTGTGCAAAGCTTTTGAAGGGATACAAAAGTAGTTCTGTACTGCTTGAGTGTAAGTGTGATCAGCGAGAACAGAGGAATCCAGCTCCTTCCTCACAACGGGACGCATCTTGACAGAGGAACCCTCGAACAGTACCCAGCCCACAGCAAATTCACTATTGAGAACCAGAAAGAGCTAAAACTATTGAAAGGTGCCGTTGACAACTGTCCCCACTTCAGGAGGTGACATCCTATCTTGCAAACTCAGTATGTTTCAAAATTTTCTTTGGCTAATTCTTTCAGGAAGTATTTTTTCATTAAACCCAGTGTCCATAAGTGGTGGTTCCACACCAGCCTTTGAAAACCAGAATGAATCAGAACCCTACCACAGTTTTATCTTAAATAGGTTTCTCTGTGGGGTGATCTAGAAATCCACTGCCATTTATCACACTGCCTCTAGAAAATCCTATTCCGCTTCCTCAGAGAAGACAAGCACAGCCGAGCATCCGATCACGCTTTTCCTCACATTTGCCCCGGGAACGCAAGGGAGAAAGGAAACCTAGTCTTTGGAAAATACTTCTTCCTCTGGTTTCATCACCTGGCTCAGCATAGGTTCGTATATCAGACCTTAGAAAGTTAGAGTTATAAATTGGGAAATGCATCCAGCTTACCTAGGAAATTTGAGAGAACACGGAGAATGGTAATATCACTGAATCCCTTATAAAACAGCAGTTTGAGGCTGAAGAGTTGAGGGAGGCCAAGCTGAAACCACCTGAAACATCTCAGTCTTCTAGAGAATGAACAGTGTTATTACCTTTGTTTTTCTCCTCAAGAGTTCCCGGAACACCACTTCATTCCCCAGTCTTTCGCCTCAGCCACACAGACGGAACAAACCACATGGAAAATCAAACAAAACAAAAAGCTCAAGCCTACCATTTTATTTTCCCCTTTAAAAATAAACTTGAATGTATCTGACATTCATCTAATGCCAAAAGTGACTCAGTCCAGAGAAGGAAACAGTCTCATGTGTTGATGATTTCAAGTCGGCCTCTGGCTGTATTTCACCACACACGAGGCATTTCTTTTCTGGCTACGTTACATCAATGCCTGTTAACAGGCAAGAATTTTCATCTACTTTCCTCTCACCACCAATCCCACCCCCTTGTTATCCTTTTGTTTTACAAAGAAAAACTTGTTTTGCAACAAGTCGATTGGAAATGCCTGGGTGAAATTTTAATTAAAGGCTCAGAGGAAGATGATTCTTTCTCCCGATGACTCGTATGAGTGATTTCAAACGGAAAAAGGTTGGAATCATTTGTAGGGCTGTGCAGTTTTAAATCTGTACCTGGCGTGGGTATGCTGGCCAGGAAACCAAATTTCAAAAGGCCCTGGACTATCTTGATCCTTCCTTACAAGCAATCAGTAAAAACCAGAACTATTGCTATAAAAATACAGTTATATTCAAGTAAACTTCATCCATCATCAACTATATATAAAGTCCCGTGAATGGTACTTCTAGGGTTACAAAGATGTGCCTTGCACAGACACACTTGGGAAATTGAGAGTAGGGCACATATGTGTAAACCATATGCTAGATATTTTCCTAGTCACTCAAAGGGTATATGGGATATACTAACTAAAGAACCTAGACCCCAACAGTGAGGAGCTCAAATGTCTAACTAATGTGATGACAGGAAGACAGAGCCATGGGAGATGCTCTAAGAGCACTGTATTCTCAACCCATTGTGTTCTCAGAGCCGTCTGGATTTTTCCTTCACAGCCGTATCAATTTGCATTTTTATCTCTGAATAATCTGAGTCCAGTCTATCCCTCCCATTATAATGTCAGGTCCCCAAGCACAGGGTCAGTATCTGTTTTGTTCACCATCCCAGTCTCAGCACTTAACCCAGGGCCGGGCATTTAATAGGCACTCAATATAAAGATTTGTTCTATGAATTGATGAATCAATAAATGGATGAATGCAAATTGAATCACTAGGTTATAGTGAAACTGCATTTTGGGGTGGGGTGGGTGAAATACTGGGGTGTGGTACAGAATGAATCACCGAGGACGAGGGGGTCCCTAGCCTGGTTAACTGGAAGGGGGGCAAAGCCGCTGGACGGCTACAGGGCCTCCAGGGCGGACGCGGAGGGCTCAGACCGAGCGTGCTCACCCGTTCCTCTGCTGAC